TATTCTTTCAGGGATTCGCAGTTACGAACCCCGGATGCAAATATTTGCTTATGAAGTCGACCTGGACCCTGGAAACTCGAAATAAAGTTTAGGTTTAGCGAGAGATCCAGAACTGCACGTGAAGCCACGGGAGCGTTGCTTGGAAACATATAAAAGGAAGAGGGGACGCAAGTTGTGACCGTCGCTCCTTTCCCTCTTACCACCACCATCTCCTCTTCCCCCTGCCAACGTCCCGTCGCGACTCCCGTCCGGCATCCCGCCAGACCGACTCTCTTCTGCCCTTCGAAGATCACCGCACTATCTTCATAGTGGTACGTGACAAACTGTTTCTTTAAACGCTATTGAGTTCTAACGCAGGAGTTATCAGCGGTCTGTCACAGCCTTGACGAGTCTTCAAAACTAACCTTTAGCTTCACGGTTAGTGTGCGCGTCTCATGCAGACCTTGCTTGCTCTACAGTGATCCTGGATATCCTATCCATCACCCTTCTAACGGCGGGCTCTCTATTCCTGATGACGGAAGGACACATCGCGTGGACCTCTGATAGCCTTCTCGCTCTCAGCAACCTGAATGGCGCTCCCGCAATCTGCCTTCTTGGAGATCACGAAAGCCCCCTAGACTCTCCGGGATTGTGACCAGCTAGCGATTTTGCTAGATGTTTTCTTTATTTTATTTTTCTCCACATCTAGCAAAAGGTCGAGTACGTGATCTTTGCCTAAGTGGAGTTTCTGGGCCGTTCAGTCGATGCCAGCGCCAGGCGGGGCACGAGTCGACAGTCGCTGTTGGATCTAATAGTGGTGTCTTAAAGTTCTTTTTCGATATCAGTCTGGCTCCCCTTTTTATATTCAGGCAGTTACACACAGCCTTTAAACTCTCAGGACGTCGTCCTCAAACCCATGCTATATCCTGCAGTCTTCCCTGTTCATTCAAGGTGAATATGTACTGCTAAGTGGACCCATGTATAATTCTTCTCGTCCGCGGTGACCTGAAGGGCGCTCTCACAGTGTACTTTCTCAGAGATCAGGAAAGCCTCCTGGACTCTCCGGGTATTGTGACCAGCTCGAAACTTTGCTAGATGTAATTCATTTCCGCATCTAGCAAAAGGTCGAGTGCTGTACCTGAAGCTTATTCTAGATATTTAATGAATCGACTCATGTGGAGACTCCTCGTTATTCCCGGAAATGACACTACTGCACTCGAGACACCTCTACAGACAACATCGTAGTGCACAGCAGTATCCAGCGCCAGAATTGCTCTTGAAATGCCGTTGATTGTCCCGAATTAAATAACCGAGTATCTTCTTCCCGGAAGAGTTCGACATAAGTATGTACAAGGTGGCATATAACGTCAGTGCTTGCTCTGTTGTACCTTGACGGCGATAACACCTGTCATACTATATCATGGTAAGTAAAACTTTACGAACACTTTGAAATGTCGTGTCGACGAATTACTAATTATAACGAATTGCCACCTAAAGACTCCCGTCAGCGAAGGCAAAGTCACCGAAATTCTGGGTAATAGACTCCAGAGGCCGACCGCGGAGCTAAGATTATTCTCCGAATGTTGCGCATCTGCAGTGAGTCATTCATACCTCACTTCTGGAAATAACCTACAATTAGCACACGTAGCTCTAAAAACACAAAACCCAACGAATAACCATAACACAGATACCCAATCCAAAACCTTCGACCTTAAAACCCATTTAAACCTCCTCCTCCGAACCCTCCCCCATTTCCGAACCCTCCATTTCCAAAGTTATTTCCGAAATTATTACCGAAATTATTACCAAACCCACCCCCGCTCCCTCCTGGCCCTCCTCCTGTAGCGGCTTTAAAGATGCCTCCAACCAATTTTGTCACTATCTTTGCCCCAGCTTTGTACATGAATTTATTCGAGCCGCTGCCATGACCACCAGCGCCACCACCACCACCGAACCCATGATGGGAAGAACCTCCGTGGCCCATCCTACCGAAAGCATTGGCGCGTCCCTGCTGCATAACATTCATCCTCACGCCGCTCACGTAGTTGGTCATGATACTGTACGCAGCGGGATCTGGATATGCTGGAAACGCAGTGCGAGGAATGGGGTTGGGGAATGGAAGGTTCGTCATTGGGTCTATAAGCCTGAATACGCTGAGGTTGTTGTTCCAGCTCTTCAAACAACACCATGTTCGTGATTAGGGTCTTATTTTCAAGGAAAAGAACGAAATTACCTGATGATACTCTTCCGGTTTGGATTTAGTATGGAACACGGATAAATGTAGGAATCCCCTCCTGTCTAACACGGGAGCCCCATTTGCAGTAACCTAAATCGAGACGGTTCAATCATACGTAACTCAAATAGAATAAAATAAAACATGAAAGCAAACGCACCACATACGGAATTGATGCAGCGGCGTAAAACCCCGCCAAAGCATTCACAATCACCTGGGACTTAAATCACCGCCTCACATTCAGTGAACTATCTCAAGGATCGGAAGGAATGGTCCAGCTCACCCGCTCAGGAGTGTTCCCCACCGACACATTCTTCCAGTATATCTTCTCTGGCTCAATCATCCCCGACCCACGAAATTGAGGACAATTCCTATCCAAATAGAAATACAACGCATCCACCAGACGACAGAACACTTCACTAGGACGGCCTGATTGGTCGAGGAATCTAGGAATACTTCCTTCAATGCGGGAACGAAATGAAGGTTAAAGGTAGAGCAACATACTGTCCGTAAAATGAGTTCGGATTCTGTCCTCCAGGAGAGATATCGTCATACTGCACGGGAGAGTACCCAGTGGGATTCGGGTTCATACCGTATCCTGGAGGGGGATTCTGTGGAGGTGAACTCTGTGGGGTATATGGTGTCTGAGTATATGGTGACTGGGGTGTCTGCGTATATGTCGACTGTGGTGACTGAGGCGATCCAGGAGGAAAGGGCGAGTGTCTGGTTCCGGACATCACTATTGAATATATGGGCCCTCAAACTTAAAGGGAAGGTCAGAGTTCAAACGCAACCGCTCACGGATCCATGCTGTGATATTTAAACCCTCTCCTTCAGCCGATTTCCCTCGTTTTGATAAAGAAGGCTATAGCATGATCACCGCCTTGATCCTCATCTATCCCGTAGATGACAAGCCTATGTCATGTGCGATACGAGGCATTATGCCGACTGGCGGGCATAAATAAGTTTAGGACTTATAAAAATACTCTGGTCGTATTTGGCCGCTTAGGATGGTTAATAGCCGTGTTCAGAGCCTAAACGACGGAAGGCTCAAAAAGGATATAATGACCTTCGGGTAAAGGGTTTAATTTGAGAGGCCGTTGGGATATGACCGGTGCGATATATACTGAAGAAAAGGATATTGGCCGCCTGGCGAAATGGCATCGCGTCTGACTACGACTTTATAGTACATTCAAGAGATTGTAGGTTCGACCCCTGTGGTGGTCATTGTTTTGCATTTGCTCCTAAAGACTTATAAAGAGTTATAAACAGTACTATGACAAAGTTGGCTGTCATGCAACGACTTCGAGTTTCCTGGGCTGACGAGATACTATTAGTAATACTTGTCTCATCTTTCAGCGGGCTCGATATGCTTGAGGTATGTACTAGCAATCACCCAGTCCCTGTATGGCATACCGTTCGCACAAAAAGTCCGAAAGGGTGCGCGCGCGCGCCGAGGCCGTTTTCGCGTATGTGTATACCTCAGTCACAAAATTATTTGAACATTTTATTATTATTTTTGAGGAGAATATTGGGTATGTTTGATTCTGTAAGAGTGAAATAGACAGGTTTGGAGAATTATGGAGACGTACGGCCCAGGGCAGTAGCCTATTTCCAAGGATGTATGCACCAGATATTTTTAGAAATTGGTGAGATCCACTGATGGGCTTACCGTAGGACTATCAGGCATTTAATATTTGTTCTTTAAAAAGTTGCAGGGTGACTTCATGAGCCGTAAGAGCGATAATAAAAATTAGCAATTAGGATTTGGAAAACAGAGCGTGGGAAACTCTCGTCAGCAACCGCCGGTGGGTCCTCATGGACTCTCAAACAATGACAAACAGTGACATGATCGTCACTGGGTGACCGCTGACAAGGCTCCCACGGTATGTTTTTCAAATCCGAATTTTTCATTTTTCCTCGTCCTCCCTTATGGCTAATCAATCCTAAGTTCCGCCCTTTATAAATCGATTTATTATTCTATGTCCGGAAATGACGAACAGTGATTTTAAAATGGTTTGAAAATACGGCCCATGCATACATACCTGAGAACTGCCTGAAAACTGCGAGTCAGTCCAAATCAGATCATTCCTCCTTCTCAGAATACACAAAATAATTAGAAAATCATACTATAAAATCTCATAGAAAATTGAAAATCGGTATAGACATACATGAAAACCTTCTCGGCGTGCGCGCACCCCTTCGGACTTTTTGTGCGAACGGTACTCCATACAGGGAGTGGGTGACTGCTAGCACATACCTCAAGCACATCGAGACAGCTGACAGACGAGACAAATATTATTATTATTATCGTTTTTATTACTACATTCATATCTTTGAGGTAATATGAAGTTGATATTAGACATCGTTCCTTGCCCTCTTACCATCATCTCGCCTTTTCTTTCCCTCCTTTCAGTCAATATCCCCCGTCCTCTCATTCCCTCGCCTTATACTTTCGACGGCCAGCCTGAGTATCCACCGCGCCTTATACTTAGTCAGGATTTTCAAAGATTATTACAGGCTCAAATTGGGAACGAGGCGTCACGATCGTCTCGTTCGAGGCGTTCCTCCCAGCTGGCATTGAGCTTGTCCTTGACCCCGATGAAGACGAGTACGATGGTATGGGCATCCAGACGGTCATGCTCGGCGCGAAGCACGTTCCTCTAGCTGAGAAAGATAAGAAGAAGAAGAAGAAGAAGAAGAAGAAGAAGAAGAAAGACGACGATAATAGTAAGGTTCCGCGTAAAGAGTCAACGTGGTAGGAGGACTGGGCTGAAGGAGAGGACCTCCGTAGGGCCGAAGTATATAACCCGTAAGTGAATTGTGCCTTTTACGAATTGCATTCTCTGGGTGGAGTTCCTATCCGAGAAGCGTGCACACATTACATTGGAGCTGACTAGCTGTTGCACATATTTGATTTAGCATTATCATCCACAAGTTCAATAGAAGCTATAAATACGAAGATATGTGTCTGTAATTAGAGACGGTGGGAGACCTCCACCATACTTAACTCCGCATTCATATTACTACTTCGAAATAGTTCCCAACACATATATCCTCCATCTTGCAGTCCATCTACCCTCTATCACCGCAGTGTTCGACAGAACAATGAGTTATATTCCATACGTATGGATCCTCGCTGCTGCTTCCTTCATCTACTATTTCTTAAAGGACCGACACAAATTGCCCCTGCCTCCCGGACCCAAGCCCCTTCCCCTTATCGGAAACGTCTTCGACATGCCTACTACAAGTTATGACTACGTCAATTATGCAGAGTGGGGAGATAAATACGGCGATGTTGCGCATGTTACCGCATTCGGCAGACATGTAATCCTCTTGAATTCGCTCAAGGCATGTACTGAGCTTTTGGAACAACGGAGCGTTATCTATTCCGATAGACCAGGTTCACCGATGCTCACTGACCCTGTACTGTGAGTCGTCCGAGGAGTGGTTCAACCCAATTATTTAATGGATGTCTTTAGGATGGACGCGGGATGGGTTTTCGCCAATATGCGATATTCGAAGCGATGGAAACGACACCGCCGATTATTCACGCAATACGTCAACCCGACGACAATAACGCAGGTATTTGCAGAAAGACAGACGTCTTCCGTCCGTATGCTTCTTGGGTTGTTACTTTCCAGTCCAGAGAATCTGAAGAGCCATCTAATGCATGCCTCTGCTAATTTAGTACTGGGCATTACCTACGGGTATACCGTACAATCTGGATATGATCCAGTTGTTGCGGTAGCCGAAGAGGCTATGGTGAAACTGAATGAGGGTGTGAGCCCAAAATACTTGGTGAATCTCCTTCCCATATGTAAGTAATATCGATCAATTATTTCACCAATGTGTAAATTAACTATATTTTTCTAGTGAAATATGTCCCCACATGGTTTCCGGGAGCAGGGTGGAAACGTTTCGCGCAGCTTGAAACCAGGCCTGTGGTACACCGATTACTGAAAGAACCGTTCGATGCAGCACTTGAAAAGATTGTTAGTGATAAATATTAGCGTTTGAGTAGGAAAAATTATACTCACATTTTTGTAGGCTAGTGGGAAAGGAACAGCATGTATAGTCCAGCAGGTCTTGGCAGATCGGACTGAAGGCGATGACCCCGGCATAGAAGATGATATTAGAGAAATAGCTGCAACAATGTATGCAGGTGCGAAAGGACATATAGAGCATTCCTGCAAGTTAACTCATGCCCATTCTCTTTAGCTGGTTCCGATACAACAGTCGCTGTGATTTATGCATTAATACTCCAGTTAATTCTACGTCCAGATATTCAAAAGCGTGCTCAATTAGAACTGGACAGCGTTGTGGGTTCTCCGGACTCACCTGAATTTCGTTTACCAACATGGGAAGACCGCCCACGCACACCATACCTCCAAGCCCTCGTTAAGGAAATCCTACGTTGGAATCCAGCTGTTGGGGCAGGTGTTCCACATTCTGTAATGGAGGATGACGTATATCGTGGATGGAGAATCCCCAAAGGGTCCATTATCTTCGCGAATGCTTGGGGGCTACTTCGGTCGGAGGAATACTATAAGGAACCAAACGTCTTCAGGCCTGAACGATTTCTAGGAGATAATCCGGAACCCGATCCTTCTATTAGCGGAACCTTTGGATTTGGAAGGCGGTAAGTGTTCATAAGTTAGGGTTGAGATATTTTGCTCAGTCAATATAATTCTCAAGCGTATGTCCAGGACGGTTGCTGGCTGAGAATACACTTTGGTTGGAATCTGCCTGTCTTTTATCTGCCTTCAATTTCTCGCATGCCAAAGATCAGAATGGAGCAGACGTCGACATACAATATGCAACAACACCGAAGGCGGGGTTTATTCTGTGAGGACTTTTTATCCTTGCGAATGTGAATAATCAGTTGACGATTTGCGTAGACATCCTCCCGAATTCCCCTGCTCAATTATTCCGAGGTCTAAGAACATCGAAAGGGTTATTCAAGAGACTGAATCCTTTTGAACAGGTTATAGAGAAGGTTGAAGGGAGAGGAGGATCCTAGGAGAACGAGTAAATGAAAACTTCATAAAAAAGGACGAAGGACCTCTGTTTTTGCGTTTGATCTTGTAATTTTGAAGATGCCATTGTATTTGAATTATTCAAACCATATAACTATAAAGTAAGATTTAGGTAGAAGAGGCTGAAGAAGGTGAGACGCTGCACAGCCCCCAGGAAATCAAGTGGATCAGTCTACAAGATATCCGCAAAATATAATTTTCTCGATTCTCGCTAGATATCTACAGGATTTCTACTTGGCCAACTAATCAGTTGACGATTTGCGTAGACATTCTCCCGAATTTCCCTGCTCAATTACTCCGAGGTCTAAGGACGTGAAAAGGATCGTTCAGGAAGCTGAATCGTTTTGGACAGGTTATAGGAGAAGAAGCGAGAGGAAGACCCTAGGAGAACCCAGTAAACGAACACTTCATAAAAGGTTGAAGGACTTCTGTTTTTGCGTTTGATCTTGTGTAAATTTAAAGATGCCACTGTATTCTAATTATTGTGACCATATAACTGTAAAGTAAGATTTAGGTAGAAGAGGCTGAGGAAGGTGAGACGCTGCACAGCCCCCAGAAAGTCAAGTGGATCAATCTACAAGATATCCGCAAAACATAATTTTCTCGATTCTCGTTAGATATCTACAGGTTTTCTGCTTGGCTAACAATTACAATTTCCTGACGATCTGCATCCATAGGATTCGTGCAAATTTAACTTTGGACGTGCAGCTCTTCCAAGGCTATACAGACAGATACAGACTTATACAAGCCTAGACATATTGGATCTATTCGCAAACGACACATGCGTTAAGAACCATGCCCTAAGCAAGTGCATCCCGGAGCCCGTTTTGACCGTTGAATCGGTCTATGTTGGCCATTAGAAAGGAAGACGATAAAACGGATTTTAAATTCATTATAAATCGTGAAAGCCGGATGAAGCTGCGTGGAGGCATGGCAGGGATACAAATGTAAAATATCTGGCCGCCTGGCGAAATGGTATCGCGTCTGACTACGAATCAGGAGATTGCAGGTTCGAGCCCTGCGGTGGTCATCATTGTTTTTATATTTTTACTCTTGAAAATGTTTCTGAATCGACCACGACGAATATTTCTGTCTTGCCATTTTTACACGCCAAGAATTATGCGTTTTACTTGTCTCCCAGAATACGGCGTCATTTCTCATCGTTTGCATTACTGCATTCATATATTT